GGAGAGAATGAGAAGGAAGAGGAGGGGAAGAGGAGGAGAAGGAAGAGAGGGAGAGGAGGAGGGAGAGAGAGGGAGAGGAGGAGGGAGAGAGAGGGAGAGGAGGAGGGAGAGAGAGGGAGAGGAGGAGGGAGAGGAGGAGACGGAGGTCGAGGGAGAGGAGGAAGAGAAGGAGCATGAGGAAACAACAAGCGGACCTGCTGAGTTTCAGATCATCCCAGAGTCCATCAGAAGCAAGGATGATACACTCATCCTCCCCCTGTGCGTCTTCAGTCAGCAACGGCAGCAAGACCATCGGGCAGAAACCATGCAAGACTACCAAGTTCTCTCCCCCATCTCTCACCTCCCCCCCCCTCCGTCCCTTTCCCTCTCCCTGAACCCTTCCATTCCCTTCGCTCCCTTCGTCTCCTCTTCCTCCCTCTCCCTACCTCCCAACCCCCTTTCTCACCTTCTGGAGCGAATGTTTGGTGACCTCAGGAACGGCTATGACCGCGCCCGGGCACTTCCCCTTAGTCTTGCTGTCCCCGAAGGCCCTGGAGGGGATCAAGTCTCCCATCGCCCTCTTGTCCTCCACCTTCCCTCCACACCCTTCAATCCTCTGCCTCTCACTCGCCACCACAGCCCGGTGGTCCGTGGTCAGCCTCACGGCACTCAAGGCCCCGTTCTCGCGCTTTCCCAGCACTATCCGGCAGTCGCCCAGGTTGGCGACGTAGAGGCAGATATCCCCGTCGTTGTCGCACAGCATGCAGCACGTCGCGCACGACCCGCTCTTGTCTCCCTTCTCGTTGAGCTCCAGAGCCTCCTTCTCCGTCCTGGCGAAACCCTCCTCCAGGCACTTGATCAGCTCCTCCCTCGCCTCCCTGCCCCTCAGCTCCACATTCTCCCTCATCTTCTCAGTTAGTGCGTCCGCCACGTGCGCCGCCAGCACCTTCTGCGCGAGCCCCGAGACCCCAGCCCCCCCATGCCCATCGAAGACAGCGAAGAAGGGCATCGTGGAGAGGGTCGAGCTCTCCAGCAGCCTCTCCCTGAACTCAGACGGGATCAGGTCAAGGAACTCGAGCACTGCGAACTGATCTTCGTTGGCGTGACTCTGACCTCGCCTTGAGTGGTACCCCACCTTGATCTGAAGCGCCTCCTTGGTGTTGTTGGAGACCGAGAACTCCATGTTGTTCTCCACCGTCTCGAGCTCCTCCTGCATCTTCAGAACCGCATCGAGGCCGATCATGGGCTTCGACTCGCCTCCTCGCTCCTCGTCGCTATCACTCAGCTCTTGGTTGTCCTCCTCCTTGCTTTGAGACGCTCCCTCTGAAGGCTGTGCAGGCGCCGCTTTCGCTACCTTCTTCTTCTTCTTCTTGGAGTTGGAAGCACTGTCCGCTTTCTTTCCAGGACTGTTTCCCGCGTCAGCCTCTGCCTCCTCCTCTTCGGCTTCATTGTGCTCCTCGTCGTCGTCCAAAAACGCGTACACGTTCTGAGCGATCTTTGCCTTGAGCTTCTTCTCGTTCTCGGTCTTCTTCGCTGCCCTCTCCTTCTTTTCCAGCCACTTCCTCTCATCGTCCTTCTTCCGACTCTCCTCCGACTCCTCAGCTGGAGCAGAGCTCGATTTTGACTCCGTCTCCTGCACCTTCGCCTCCTGCTTCTTCTTCTGCTCCTCCAAGGCTTTCTTCTTCTTCTCTTCCTCCTGCTGCTTCATCCGAGCCGCTTCCTCATACTTCGCCTCGTCACACTGATCGATAATGTCCTTGATCATCCTCGACGCCTGCAGCACAGTTTTCCTCTTCCCCTCGATCACAACTTGCTTCTTCCCCTCCTGCGTGTAGACGGAATCCAGAGAGATCTTCGCTCCTGACCTGTGCTGCAGCTGCTTCAGCATCATACCCTTCTTGCCGATGATCATCGCTGCCGTTGCGATCGAGACAAGAAACTCAACCCTGGGATGCTCCTCCTCGCCTGAAAGGATCACGCCGGGGATTTCGATCCCCTTCAGCTCATCCAGAACGCTGGACGCAGGAGCAGCTTGCTCATGCTTCTGACCCTGGTTCTGCGCCTTCTGGGCCTCTTTGGTGACTACCGGGGCGATTCTCTCTTGGATCTTCGACGCCAGGTGGTGGAGCTTCGCCCCAGGGCCCCCGCCCTGTTCATCTTGAGCGTTCTTAAGCCACGTCAGCATCAGGTCGATCACGAGATCCCTTGCGAGCTTCACTTGCGACTTCTTCCCCTGGATCGCAAGGACCTTCTTCGTCTCGTCCTCCGGGTTCACGTCCTGAACCAGAGCGACCGTCGCTCCTGTACGATGGTGGATGTTCTTGATGGTCTTCCCTTGCTTGCCCACGATCATCCCAGCTGCCGTCACTGGGATCTGCATCTCAATGCGAATGAGCTTATCCGCCTCCCTCTGGTCCTCAAGAAACTCCTGAATGGTTCCTGGCCTCAGCTGGGCTTGTGGGGGACGGCCCTGCGCCTTCTCGTTCGCCTGCTGCTGGTTCTGTTGCTGGGCTTGCTGCTGGTTCTGTTTCTGCTTGCTGTATTGGGAGAGCAGGTAGTCTTTCCAGTGCTCTGCATCCTTGTCTTTCCATGCCTCCTCGTTCTGCGACCAGAGGGTGAGAGTCTCGATCAGCATATGAACAGCCCGCTCAACAGCGGCTGCTCCCCCGTCGATCTGAACGATCTTGACCTCCTCGGAGGTGTTCTCTGCCTTGAGCTGCACACGAGCGCCAGTGTCCGCCTTGAACTTCTTCAACATCGCGGCTCTCTTGCCAACAATCATCCCAGCAGCCCCTGCAGGGACAGAAAGCTCCACAGCCGTCGTCATCTTGGACTTCCCTTGGCCTTGTGCCTCACGCTGATACGTAAGGGAGATCGAAAAGTCAGTCAACGGGCTCTCAGCTCTCCGCAACTTCGCAGCACCTTCCCCTGTTGACGTTGATTGTTCTGGTCAACTCCTGTCTGATGAACTCCCTCTGCAACAAGTTTCAGGTCAACGGATCGGAAGTGTAAGCAAGACCACTCTGAGAATCCTGCAAGCAAAGATCAGCCGATTGTTGTAAGGAGCAAGCAACTGGTCTACCTGCGGAACATGGCCACCATTATTTCGCTTCGAACCTGCCAACATTTCTTCACAAGAGTCTTCGAGAAATATCAAGAAGGTGAACCTTCATTGCGCTGCTGCAAAACAAAGTAGAAGGAATCAGCGAGATGCTCGAATGAAATGTAAAAGAGGCAAAGAAGTAACTCACCGGTTGATGGTTGCCTTGGGCTTCTTCACTCGATTGTGCCATAGATGACGCTTGGTTTGCAGGCGGCTGTTGCTGTTGCTGCTGCTGCTGCTGTGGTTGCTGCTGTGGTTGCTGCTGCTGTGGTTGCTGCTGCTGTGGTTGCTGCTGTTGCTGCTGCTGTGGTTGCTGCTGGTGATACACGTAGGGCATGTTCTGCAAGGAGTCAAGGAGGTGTGCGAGAAACAATCGCATACCGGCTGCTGCGCTGGTGCCATGTAGTTCATGGGAGGATGAGCAACATTGGGCACCGCGCCTCCCATCGGCATCATCTGCAAATGGCAAGATCTTTGAGGGTTTCATACCACCAGAGCCTCTAGATTTACCTGTTGCTGCCCGCCATAGCCCGAAACGGCCACGTTTGGACCTGCAGGAACTCCATACTGGTCCACTGGCACGTTGGCTTGCTGCGTAGAGGGTCACTAGCAATGTAGGATGACGAGGAAGAGTAGGTGGAGGAGCAGGAGGAGGAGCAAGAGTAGATAGAGGAGCAGGAGTAGGTGGTGGTGGTGAAGGAAAACAAGTACGCTACCTGGAAATGAACTTGCTGTACATGTTGAGCATACTGATCGAAGGTGAACTGTAGTCGGTGGAGGAGCTGAAAAAGGGAGAGGAATCAGGGGAAAGAGACGAAGAGAAAAGGGTGATGCAGCCCACTGACCTGCTGGAGCATTTGATACGCACCCTGCACTTGTGAAAAACGTCCGTAAATTACAATCTTGGTTAGCTGCGCACAGCTGTCAATCCATAAGATCCAGGTGGTCGATTGACAGACCTGAAGGCTGGGATCAGGCTGTTGAGCAGCATACGCAACTTTAGCCTTGGTGATGAGCTTTCAACATGTCGATTAGAGGAAGTCGCCCACAAACAGCGAGAGCAAAACCTCTACAGAAGCGATATGCTGGCCATGATTGCTTGTCAAGACTGACATGTATGCGTTCGGCACGTCCATTTCTTGATGTACTTCTTCATCAGGGTCGCATTCGAAGTGATTTTGGTTTGACTTGGCGTCTTGGCTCTGGTGCTGAAGCAACAATCATGTCACGTCTCAACCCGACTCTGACTGACATAAAACAGCAAAAGCTCTCACCTGCCCCTGTCCTTGCGCCCTCTGACGGTCTTCTACCCCGTCATGATGCGAATTCTGCGCATTTTGCCTGGAGCCACCCCTCTTGGACTTCGGGTGATGATTCCCCTGCTCCTTGACATTGTTTTGTTGATTCGGCGTAGAGTTCTCTGTTTGGCTGGTCAAAATCTCTTGCACTCTGTCACGAGTTGCCTGCGGGAGCAGTTGAATGTTTTCTTCCTGTCCTTCGACGGAGCACCACGAGCACAAGACCTCGTACACAAGCTCCTCTGCCTTGGCTACCTCTGCATTGGACCCTTTGATGACGAGTCGCTTCAGCCCTGGATTCGAGGGGAGGGGTTCCGGCGACAGGTGGACATACGCCTTGGACCGAGCCTTGATCGAGTTGATCTTGGCTCCCTTCTTCCCCACGATCAAGCCAGTGACTTGTAGAGGCAGATCTATGTTCTGAACATTTGGCTGTGACATTGCGTATATGGGCAAAAACTTTCGGGTTTGTGCTAGCGTATGGATATGTGAGTCTTTCAAAAAATCATACGAGGTTGACCCTTGAGCGTTTGCGCTGTGAGTGCAAGCCCAGAACACCAGCACAAAGAACTCAAGAAGAATCCCGAGCCCGAGGTACCAGTATCTAGTGATCTAGATCAACAATGTCAGCTCAACCAACGCAAAAAAATCCGTCAGAGGCGACTGAAACATCCGAAAACCCTTCGGTAGCGTCATCACATGAACCTGACGATTCTATGACCTGCCATGCATCTTCGGCTGAAGCTTTCAACGGCATCTCTCTCACACTCTTGTTACGAATGTGCCCTGACTGTGCTGACTCTGAAGTCTTCCAACTTAGGTGGTACAATCTGCCCTATTCTTGCATCTACGAAAGAACAGTTTCTGAATCGCGTACACACAGCATCACATATCCATGCAAAGCGCTCGTGCACGATGCTCCTCGCAACGAGCACGGAAGCATCATCATCTCCAGCGCACGATCTGTCCAGAGCCCCTGGGCAGATCTCTGGTTTTCAAACTTCGAAAAGTCTTCAAAGCCTGCCATACTTTCTTGGAGAATCTTTCAATCCTATCTCTGACAAACATCCGTCTTAAACACATGCAAGGTCATCATGTCTCCGAACGGAGCTACCAGACTCGTTCTCTCCTCCTCCTCCTCCTCCTCCTCTCCCTCCTCTCCCTCCCTCTCCCGCTGCTTTCGCGTCGCTCTAAATGACGCCATGCTCCACGCGCAGCCGCGGGAACCCCACGGGTTTTTTTCTACTACCCTACCCCTTATGCCTCCCACAATGACCCCCAGATATACAGTGGGTGTTGACCTCATTGAACCCATCCCCTGCATCGTAATGGATGGTTGACCCAAATATAACTAAAGTTTCCAGTACTATTCAGTACCCCTACCCCTTTTTGGAAAGTAGAAATGACCCCTTCTTGTACCACCCGTCCAGACAAAAACAAAAATACCCCTGCGAAAGTGCGTAAAAGGACGGTATGAGTCATCCCACCAAATTAGGGCAGCAATATCAGATTAGGTAAGATATACTAATGAAAATTTACTGCCTTTGTTGCTTGGATATGTTGGGATAGCAGCAGACAAATCCAGGCAAAGCTGCGTTTTGAGGAATGGCGGGGACGTGGGGAGTATGTTGGAATGCGCCGAGAGCCTATGGAAGAGGAGGAGGAGATGGAGTACGACACGGAGTATATGGTGAGGTAGGTAGATAGCCCTGCTGCTTCGTACATCGTCTCACAAGAAGTATGGTCTGCTCTGCCCTCTCCCTGAGAAACAGAAATCCAATATCTACCGCGTTGATTATTCTGCTGCTGGCTGTGGATTCCATCGTTGCGGTTTGCATACACGACAAGATCAAGCATGAGAAGCCTGTGCGCGCTCCGCAAGACTACCCGAGCATGTTCCGCAGAGCCAGCTCTCCCAATGTCACAGCGCCCATCCGAATTCAGTTCGACACCACCACCTTGGCGCTTGACCTTGGCAGCTCGTCCTCTTATACGTATGTTAAAGGGCTCTTGACCGATGCGGCAGCCATGTTGAGCGCTGCCGTCCGAGTGATCCCGATTCGCGGAAACCTCCTCGTCACCCGTGACTGCAGGTTGTATTGGGTGACCGGCCAGCACGCCAACGAATGTTCCAGCATTGTGGTGGATCAGAAATGTGGGCCATGGTCGACAGTGTCCAGCTCGCAGAAAGCTGCGGCAGTCGTGTGGCAGTACAACTCGGGCAGCTGGACGTCAGTGAGCTATGACCAAGGGCAGGGCGTTGAGAACGCTGACTTGCTAGTTTACGTATCCGCCCATCCTGGGGACCCAACCTGCACGTCTTCCGACACGGCCCTGGCTTACTCGGGAGTTTGTCAACGCGACCAGCTCGACCGACCTGTGGTAGGATACATCAACTTCTGCACGAGCACGCTGCAGGACCGAGGCTCCAGCACCCCCTCTCAGTCTGACATAATGATGACAGTCCACGAACTCACACACATCCTAGGTTTCTCTCGAACCTCCTTTGCGTTCTTTCGTGATGAGAACGGGGACCCAAGGACTCCTCGCTGTCCGGATGCTGCATCTTGCAGCTCCAGCGACACCTCTGGCTACCCTCCGTTCTCAGACGCCATCAACAACTACTTGATCTCTGACTCCACGGTTCGTAACAGTCAAGAACGTGGGCTGGTAGTGTCAAGGTTGGTCACGCCGACTGTCCAGTATGTCTCGAAGCATCACTTCGATTGCGACAGTCTGATAGGAGCAGAGCTTGAAAATGGTGGAGGGACCGGGACGAGACTGAGCCACTGGGAGAAGCGAGTGTTCATGAATGAGTACATGACTGGGAACACGTATCCTGGCTCAGTGGATGTCTTTTCGAGCTTTTCGTTGGCCCTGCTGCAAGACAGTGGATGGTACGAGATCGATTTCAATACTGCTAAACACCTCAAGTGGGGTTACAAGCTGGGTTGCAAGTTCGCTTTGGAAAAGTGCGTTCAAAATAACAAGGCCCAGACTTCGTTCTGTACTGACCCACAGAACGATGGGCTTGTTTGCACTTACCAGCGGGATGCCCTGGGATATTGCGGACTTCATGAGTACTCACAAGACTTGGGTGCGCCCTATCAATACTTCGCAGATCGGAAGAAAGGAGGTGATGATCCACTACCAGACTACTGCCCCTTCTATCGACCGTATCAAAACGCTGTCTGCGAGGACCCACAGATTCCGATCAATCCGGCCTGTGGAGCGAAGGGAACAAGCTGCAGGGGTGGCGAGTATGGGGTGCAGACTGCATGCATTGAATCTACCCTGTGGCGCCAGGGCTTTTCAACGACGCAAGGGAACCCCATGGCCGATTGCTACAAGTACCGGTGCTCGAAAAAGAATGGCGCTTTGCAACTAGAGGTCCGCGGGCCAGATGGAGACTGGTATGTTTGTTCTAAAGGCGTAAACCTTTCCTTCACGGGCTACACCGGAAAGTTGCAGTGCCCCAACTCGTGGGAGCTATGCCCGTCTGCTCTCAATGTACCCACAGTGCAGCTCAAACCGATGGACGCAATCTTCGCAACCAATGTGTCAACCGGAAGTGGGCCGTCGAGCTACTGGATTGTAAAGTTTGACCAAGACTACATCACCTACCTCGTGAACGGTACCATCATTCTGGCCATCGTTGCTGTTATCGTCACCGTGTCTCAGTACATTTCTAAGATGTACAGGAGGAGGAGGCTCGCCATGGCTCCAGAGCAGCCGATGTTCGCAGACAACCAGATACCCATGGCTATTCCCTTCAGCACGCATGCTCCGACTGCCCCGGCGATGTTTGCAGAGCCACCCAGAGCCATCTTAATGAGCGAACCCGAAATTGCCAGCAGCTCGTCGCCCATGCCCGCTGAGTTTAGAGCTGATACCGCCCAAGCATTGAACGAGCAGAGCTCGACAAGAGGGCGCTATCCTGCTCGTGACCCTTGTTAAGGGTCCGGACGGATGTCCCTGGCAACTTGAAGACAGGGCCCCTTTGACAGGATCGTGCGATTGGCTAACTTAATCATGCCGGGCAACGCTCAGAGGCAGAACCAGGCAGCAGTGTTTGTTTTTTTATATTATTTACTTACTGTGATCCATTACATACAAGTTGACAATGCTGAACCTCAAGTTTGCACTTGTTGGATTTCAAAATGCATGTCATGATTGGTGTCAAGTTTACATGACCCGGTTCAACAGTTGGGCCGCTCCAAGACTCAGAGAGTCGGGCCGACCGGGACTCGCTGGGGCCCGGGATGCGGCTGAGCACTCAGCCAGTGACTCTAGTATGCCCGGGATCGTACTCGTACCTTCCTTTACTCAAAGTTAAGTACCTTCACTGAACTTCGAGTAAACTCAGTTGCATATGAAACTCTGAATGAGTCTCCGAGCCCGGGCGCGAACGGCCGCCGGCCGTTGTAATGATCCGTTTGACCTTGACTTTTTTTTAACAAAAAAGTTTTTTATTATCTCTTTTTAAAAGTCAAAAAATCTCAAAGTTGGCCCTTGATAAAAACAAAGATGCAAGCTGGACTGCAGAGGAGAGAGACGGGAGAGGAGAGGGGAGGGAGGAGAGGAGAGGGGGAGGGGGAGGAGAGGGGGAGGGGGAGGAGAGGGAGAGGGAGAGGGGGAGGGGAGGAGGAGGGGAGGGGAGGGAGGGAGGAGGGGAGAGTAGGGGGA